GTGTGAGAGAGAGAGAGAGAGAGAGAGAGAGAGAGAGAGAGAGAGAGAGAGATTGAGATTGAGATTGAGATTGAGATTGAGATTGAGATTGAGACAGGGTCTTGCTATGCAGTTCAGGCTGGCTTTGAGCTCACTATGTAGCCCAGGCTGGTCTTGAACTCACAGTGATCCTCCTACCTCAGCCTCCTAATTGCTGGGATTACAGGCATGGGCCGCCATGCCATGCTCTTTTAAGCATGGTTTTGCCTTGTAGACCAGGTTGTCCTTCCTTGCCTCAGCCTCCCCAGGGTTGGGATGACTAGTGTGTGCCCCTACACTCAGCTCTCAGCTCTATTTTTTTTCCCAGTAGAGGGGACAGAACCTAGGGCCTTTGTGCTGAGCTACATCCGCAGCCTTTTACACCTTGAGATGGCTTTGCTAAGTTGCCCAGCTGGGCTTGAGCTGTGGTCCTCCTGCCTCAGGCCCCCAGAGCGCTAGTTACAGACGTGTGGCACTATGCTTGGTTCCCCAGCTCCTTTTTCTTTGGTACTGGGGATCAAACTCAGGACCTTGTGCTTGCCAGGGAGGCGCGTGCTGCTGAGCTATCTCCCCAGCCCACCCCAAGCATTTTGTGACACCAGCTTCTGTCCTAGTGAGAGATGCTGGTACAGACACAGACTGCATTTGAGAGCTTGTTTTTCCGGAAGATGGAGGCTGGTCCAGTCCGAAGCCGCAGGTCACTGGGCCCCTGTGCCACACCATCTCCCCAGGATTTCTGGGCTTGGAGTTTCTCCTTGGCCCCCCAAGCCAGGACCCTCATTCACCTCATGTTCTCGTCCCCTCCCTGAGCTTCCTAAGTGTGCTGGCCTTTGCCAGCCCCATTCTCCCTTCATCCAGAGCCACTTCCCCCATGTGTCTGCCCTTTTTCCCCAAAGGAGCAGGAGAAGTCAGAGAAGGTGTCCCGGAGAGTCAGCGCAGTGGAGGAGGTGCGGAGCCACGTGAAAGTGCTGCGGGAGATGCTGAGCACATACCGCACGCCCGGGCAGGCCCCGCCGGACCAGGAGGCCTTGCAGGTAAGCTGCGTGCCCACACGGGCCGCCCCTGCTGCAGCCGCATTGCTCCGCTGTGCCCTGTGTGTGTCTGTGAAGCGTCATCACACTCGGACAGTTAACGTGGCTGCACCCCTGCCCTCCAACTCCTGTCCTCCTGTCCTGCTGTCCTCTCCTCTTGACCCCACCCCCAGCAGCCACTGATTCACTTTCTGTTGGCGTAGACTCCAGCGTAAAGGGAGTACTGGGGTGCCTGTCTCCTACTTGGTGTCTCCCTGGGCATAATCTCTTCATGTTATGAGGTTGACCAACCCAGTTTTTATTGGTGAGCAGCAGGGTGCACGGGTGTATCACAGTGCAAGTCCAGGCGTCTGTTCATGTTTGGGGTGTTTCCAGTCTTGGGTGCTCTGAGCAGTTGCGTGTACGACTTCATGCCTTCTCGTTTCCCTGGAGTAAGTGCTAAGTGTGGGGCTGCTACGTCAGCTAATAAGTACGTAGTTGGCTTCTTAAGAAGCTGCCAGTGGGCGCCGGCGAGAGCTCAGCAGACTGAAGCGCCTGCTTAGGCAAGCTCAGGCAACCCCAGGGACCGCGCAGTTTGATCCTGGTCACCACGTGCCCTGACAGCCCTGCCCCCCACCCCCCCAGTGAGCTGAGTTGGCCAAAGTCCGGGCATAGTGGCACACACCTGTAATCCCGGTGCTGGGGAGGCTGAAAACAGGAGGATGGCCATGAGTGCGAGCTGCGTAGTGAGACCCTGTACCAACCAAATACATGAGTTTAAACAAGAGGAGCTGCCAGCCTGTCCTGAGTGCGCCCTGTTCCAGTTCCCTTCACACCTTATGCACTCACCTGAGATCAGCCTTTCTCTGCCCTTATGAAGTCATTAGCACAGCGACAGCGAACCTTCGAGAGCTTTCAGTGACACCAGTAGCCTGCTGTGACAACGCGTGCCACCGCCATGTTAGCGTAACAGCGCTGTCACTCCCACTAATTTTAAAGCATTTTAATCTAAACTCCAGAAGAAGTCCCCTAAGCTCTTGTGCGCAAGTAGGTTTTAAATGCTCCGGGGCACACGCTGGGAGCGAGGTGCGGCCCCTGCAGGTCTGCCGTGCTGGCTCCTCAGGCACCTGCACTGTTTGCCGCTCCCAGCAGCCACCTGGGAGGCTGCCCGTCCTGCCCACACTCGGCGTCTTTTTTTTTTCCCTAACAGTTATCCTAGAAGTGATGCTGTATCTAATTGTGGCTTTGTATTTCTTTAGATGGTTTATGTTGAACATTGTTTTTTGTGCTTATTGGCCACTCGTTTTTTTGTGTGATTTTGTCACTTCTTTTTTTTCTTGCTTCGAGCCAGAGTCTCACTGTGCAGTTCAGGCTGGCCTTGAACTCGCCATTCAGGCCAGGCTGGCCTTGAACTCGCAGTGGTCCTCCTGCCTCAGCTTTCTGAGAGCCTGGATTGCAGGCGTGCACCACCAGGCCAGGCTTTCTGGCCATTTGTGTGTCTTTGGACTGAAATATCCCTTCAAGTCCCTTCCTGTATCTTTCCTTTTCTTTTTTTGCGGTACCGGGGACTGAACCCAGGGGTTTATACTAAGCTAAGTGATATTCCCACACCTTTTCTTATTTTCAAAATGTTTTTATTTTGAGATGGGACTCCTCTGCGTAGCCTGTTGGAGTGACCCTTCTGCCTCTGCCTACCGAGTGCTGGGATTACAGGCATGCGCCACCATTCCTGCCTTGATAGCATCTTTTGAAGTAATTTTTTCTTTTTTAAAAATATAGTTAGTACAGGGTCTCACTACACAGTTCAGACTTGTAGTGATCCTTCCGGCTTTTCAGCCTCCCAAGTGCTGGGATTACTGCCTGCCCACACGGGTGCCCATGCCACACGTGGTGCGCGCCACCACGCCCAGTCTCCACGTGCCCCAGGGGTGGGGCCGGCACAGCACACCAGGGACCAAACCCCAGTCCCTAAAAAAATTTTGAAAATTGAATTCCAGTGAAGTTCTGTTTAGTTTTTTTCTTTTGCTGCCAGCTTTTGTTGTCCCAGAGGAGGGCCACTGTGTGGCCCAGCCCGCTTGTGGCAGTGCAGCCTGAAGCGCTGAGGCCGTCCTCCTCCCAGGCCTGCCCTCTGGAGACCAGGGCCCAAACTGCAACCAAGGCCCACTTAGTTATCAGCAGTGCCAGCTCTGCAGTAAAGCCAGAAGCCTGACTGAGGTTTCGATGTAGGAAAAATAACTCGTACATTAATCTCTTTTGACTTAAAAACACAATGACATGCTTTCAGTGATACTGCATTTTATTGAAAAGTAGCCGTTGGCATTTGCCTTCTTGTGCACAGCTGCCGTGGCCCTTGCTGTGGCGCGAATGCTGGTGATGGCCGGGCCTGGCGCTCTGCTGGCCGGCTGAGAGCAGCACCCGCTGCATGCGGGTCACCGCCCCTCCTGCCTGTACCAAGTAGAGCTAGAGCGGGGCGCGGGTGCTCGCAAGCCAGAGATTCAAATGAAAAAGAAAAGCAGCCGGTATGGTGGCGCATGCCTGCAACCCACAAATGGGAGGCTGAGACGGGAGGATCATTCCAAGTTCAAGACCAGCCTGGCCGACAAAGGGAGCTCAAGGCCAGAGCTGCACAGTGAGACCCTGTCTCCAAAAGACAAAAGAAAAAAGAAAAGCAACCCCGGGTGCTTCGGCTTAGGGTTACTCGGCAGAGAATCCCACCCAGTTACTTCAATAAAAGTAGCTTTTATTGCAGCTACTTTTCAATAAAAAGCCATATCACTGAAAGCTTGTCATTATGTTTTTCTTTTAACACGAAAGAGGTTAATGTATGGGTTTTTTTTTTTCCTACATTGAAACCTCAGACAGTATTCCGGTTTTATTGCAGAGTTAGCACTTTTTTTTCTTCCGGAACCGGGGATTGAACTCAGGCCCTTGCACTTGCCAGGGAAGTGCTTATTCCACTGAGCCATCTCCCCGCCCCCAGATTTGGCACTTCGGATAACTAACTGGGCTTGGGTTCCACCTTCTGCGCTGCCGTCCGTGCTGTGCCTGCCCTGTGTTCAGGTCCTTTGTCTTGTCGCACGCTGAATCTAGTTGTAGCCTTTTCCCAGATAGAGCTTTCCTGAAATTCCAGTAGCTCCAGGCCGATTTTCAAAATCTAACTGGTATAAGCAAAAAATGTCAAGTTCCTCAAAATTCATTTTATCGGAAGAAGAAAAAAGGGTTGTCTCTATCTTACAGAACTATGAATATCTTATTAAAATTCTTTGCCACTGGTACAAAGTTAGAAAGTTCTTTATAGATTTTCTGGTGGTTTATAGAATTGTGTGCAAATGTGGAAAATTCCTAATGCAGTTTTACATTTCAAAATATTTCAGCTGCCCACTTTGAAATTTTCAAAAACTTGCAGTCTTTTTTTTTGGTGGAACCGGGGATTGAACTCAGGTCCTTGTGCTTGCCAGGGAAGCACTTATCCCACTGCGCTATCTTCCTGGCCCAACCTGCAGTCTTGATAGTATAAAACGTCACTTCTGCTGTTTCCCTACACCTCGTAGTCTTTTGGTCAGTACTTTGGACTGTGGTGAGCCGGGCCGTGGCAGGGAGCTGGTGTGCCGGCCCTTTGCATTCGTGAGCAGCCTGCTGTCACCGGCCGGGCCGCACGTCGCGCCAGGACTCACCAGCTGCTCAGACCTCGCTGTGCTCGCGTGAAGCTTGGTACTGTGCTCCTGGAGAACTGCTTGAGCCCTGAAAATTGAGAGCGCAGGCCTCCGTGAGCGAGGTAGTTCCCATCGTGGTCACATTTTTGAGGGCAATGCCTGATTTTTTTGCTTGTGCTTTTGGTGTAGCACAGAGAGGCTCTTGGTGTATAATACGCTGAAACCGAACGACTAGATGTCTGGCTTATGTGGGGCAGAACTTCATAGAGCCAGCTGTCGTCCCACCATGCAAGGTGCCCCATCACTGTCGCGTGAAGCCCTTTTCCTGATTCCTTGTGCCACCGCAGCCTCCATGACCGCCCTGTACGTGTCTCTCCCTTGGGATCTTCCTGGCCAGACACCAGTGTCAGCGGCTGTTAGGGTGTCGCCCGCGGCCTAACGCAGCATCGCTGCCAGCCTTGTGTGGTGCTTTGTGTGTGCGCTTTCGTCCCAGCGCCCCGAGTAGCAGGCTGCCTTTGTAGGTCCGTGGTGAGCGCCTGAGTGGCAGGCATCTCTTGCCTTGCACAAGACCTGAGCTTGAACAGCATTTCTGCTCAGTGGCATCTCACAGACGCACTGAGCTTTTATCCTTGTCGGGGAAATCAGCAACAGGGAATCGCGCCCAGACAGCTCTGCCCTCGTGAGGGCCCCACGGCACAGGGGCTTCCTGTGCTTTGTTCTGCGCAGTGGAATCTGAGAGGTGGCAGCCCCGGGGATTGGTTTAGAAGACGTTGCACAGACGGAGGTGCTGGCAGTGGCTCCTCCTCCGTTGCCCTTCAGGATGCTCTTTCCTTTCGGCTTCGCCAAGTTTCATAATACCTCCACGGTTGGTGTCCCGGCGCCCACACTTGATGTGCGACACGAGGGGCCGCCACGCAGGCCCCGTGGCGCTTCCCTTTGTGCCCAGTCTCGCTGGGCCTCTCGAAATGATCTTTCACCATCTGGTTTAGTTTCTGTTCATCGTTTGTAGTTGTTTTTGGTGTTCAAGATTTGGGATCTATAAAAACATAAAATTAAAAAAAAAAAAAATGAAGCACTCCACACAGATCTAGCCTTTCCCCAAAAATAGCTGACACTGTTGGTTCACACTGAAGAATTAGGTATTCCCTGACTCACCAGCCTTCAGTGATTCACAGCTGGCTGTGTTTTGGAACTTGTTGACCAGCGGTGCAAGTGGGCAGTGTCCCACTGCCCCCCACCAGCTTTGGACCTGCTCTGAAAAGGGCATGTGAGTACATTTCCTGTCTTGTGGGGTGTCTGCTAAAACCACGGCCAGTCCAAGCAGACAGGTATGTTGTTGCTCTTTTTTTTTTTCTTTTCAAAGTTTTATTGATAAACATATAGCAATGAGACAGTTTCAAATCAAATCGAAAGTACAGTTTCAACAAATAATACACTGCATATATTCTTCTTAGTGGTTAATTGCTGTACAAGATGCAGACTTGTGATCCTACTTACAAACACCATTAGAAAAAATCATTCTATTCATTAAGAGAATGCAACTATGTATCTATCCCAACCACTTTGAATACACAGATACAAAATGGACATTCATAGTTATACCCCAATTTTTTTTAAGTTCCGTTGTTGAATATTATAGGTGTGTAAACTCAGCAAAATATTCTAAAAGAGTACAGAAGCCCATAATATCATTGGGTCTTCTGTTTAACTGGCAATGTCAGAAATTATTGACCTGAGTCCCCCACAGCTCAACATAACAACATGGCTTTACTTCCTATATTTCATCTTCATACTTTTCTACTGGATGGTTAAGACCAAGGTAAAGCAGGACCTGTGCAACAAGAGTTGTAGCTTTTTGGTCTGACAAGGTCAGTGAAATGCCCTCAGGATTTATCTTGAGATCCTGTACCTCAGATTGTAGAACCTTTGTCAGTGTCAGCCATGTACACTGTTGCTCTTATACTCATAAATTCTTCACGAAAAATATGATTCTTCACGTTCAGATATGCCCGAGGGCCAGCGCAACATTAGGAGAATCTGTCTCTTAATCTCTCCTGAATCTCAGATATTAAATTTCAGTTTTTCATAAGAAAACACAAAGCTAAAAAATCTTTTTTCTTTTTTTTTTTTTTTTTGGTGGAACCAGGAATTGAACTCAGGCCCTTGCGCCTGCCAGGGAAGCGCTTATTCTACTGAGCCATCTCCCCGGCCCCTAAAAAATTTTTTTCTTACAGGATCTACAGGGTCTCACTCCTGTTGTCAGCCTCCCAAGCACTGGGATTATAGGCACGCATCACCACACCTAGTCTCAATCTCTGTCTCAACAAGTGCTGGAATTGAACCTGGGCCGCTGTGGTCTGCCTGTACAGGCACTTTAGTCTGCTGAGCTATCTGGCCGGCCCTAGGCGGCCAGGCCGCAGCGGCCTGGGTTCAACCCCCGCGTGCTGTGCCCCTCCCCCCAGGTGCACTGAGATAGCGATTGAGCCTGGGCGTGGTGGCGGGAGGCTGCAGACAGCAGAATCACTAGAGTCCGGTCTATGTAGTGAGGCCCTGTAGACCCTACACCAAATACATAATTAAAAGAAATAAATAGAAGATGCTGTGTTCTTGAGCATATCTTTGAACAAGTTCACAAGCGTGCGATGCTCACAGCCAGTCCAGGTGTGCACATGCACACACACAGTCCGTCCGTCTTTCTGTCTAGGTCTCTACCTCTGTCTGCCTCCCTCCCCCCGTCTCTCTCGTACTCCTGGCAGCACACGCACTGGCCATGTGAAGTCTCTGTTACTAAGTTGCTCCTTTCAGCATGCACGTGGCCTGTGCTATGCTCAGTGCTGGGGGACTTGGCTCGCGTGGAGACAGGAGGCTGTGGCTGGGCCTTCCGCCGTGGTACGTGTGCCACAGGCTCGCCGCTGCCGAGAGAGTCCATTCTGCGCTCACCTCTGCCTTCCCTCCAGGTCACCTTGGCTTCCCTCATTCTTCGTTCTCTCTGCACAGAGAGGTGGCCTGCGCAGAACTCTTTTGTTTACCTGTCCTGCCAGTTTACAGAATCAGCAAAGATAGGTTAGCGTCGGTCCCGATTCCAGATTCCTAAGGAAAATACCAGTTTGGCCTGCTCAGGTCCTGTCTCTGCCATGACTGGGCTGGGACCAACTTAAGGAGGGATCATACTGGCTGCCCCAGCGGGGGGACACAAGGCTACGGGCTGGAGCCCGGTGGGTGCTCCAGAGTCCCATTTCTTCTTGGGGAGCTGGTACCGGGGTCCCTCAGGGAGGTCCGCTTGTTGTGCTTTTCACCAGCTTGCCTGTTCCCAGCCAGCAAAGGTGGCAGTCAGGGATGCTTGGTACAGGAGGTCACCTGAGCTCCCTTCAAGAAGAGAAAGCTGGTTGGGTGTGGTGGTGTGTATCTGTCATCCCGGCACTAGGGAGGCTGAAGCAGGAGCATTGTTGTATGTTTGAGACCAGCTTGGGCTACAAAGTGAGCTCAAGGCACCCAGAACTTCATGGTCAGACCCTTTCCCAGAAAAGAAAAGCTTAGTATGTGGAGCTGTCTCCTCCTCAGCAGCATTGGGAGGCGAGGCCATGTGGAGCTGTCTGCTCC